CCAGTACTCTTTCCTGCCATGGCAGGGGATCGGACTAGGTGATCTTCTCAGGTCCCTTCCGACCCTAGAAACTATGAAAAAAAAAAGAGTACTCACTATAACAATCTTGCTTTTATACTGGCTTTCAAAAAGGAATGAATCCAATCACAGGGTTATCACTAATTTTCTTCACCGAAACAACTGCATGAGAATACCACTATTCCCTATAGTTTATAAGGGGAATCTTGAACAACTTGGGTTTAAACAGGGCTACCACATCGAAATACCTATAAAAAGTGGTCTCTCATATCTCACTGAAGTGCAAACCTATCTTACTCAAGATTATCAGAAGCCCATAATCAGTACATGCTGTTCTAAAATTAGTCATTATCAAGGTAAAAAACCTGTAGTGATTGGTGTCATATTGCCTGGAACTATTCATCTGTGTTTGGTATACTAAAGTTTTGCCAAAAATTGGTGCAAAGTGACTTTCCTGGCTTGCATTATGCTTTAGGTTTGCACATTCAAAATTCTTCATTACAATTTTCTCATCACATCTGTAGGACACCCTGGTACAATAATCCATTCACTGCAAGTTTGGAAGTTGTATGCTCTAATCTTAGCTTGCTTTAATTTGAAGGGTTATTCATGCAGTTTTGTTCCCCAAAATCTTAAGGGCACTATTAGCATTAAGATCCTCACCAGGTTATACTGACAGAAAGGTGAAATCAGACTACACCAAGCTGGTAGAGCTGCAAAAGGAAAGCCTGATTCCCTGCAGCCCTTTCTCTTATGCTCATACCAATAGAAAAAGATCTCCATCCACAAAAAACCTGAGATACAGAAGTACAGAAAAAATATGCACCATACCTGACAGCCTCTCTTCTCAATTTCCACAATACATTTCTGCATCAAGAGTGGTACCATCAAGCCCACATTTTCCTTCTCAACAACTTTTCGAGCATCTACTCCAAATATCACTGGTTCTCGATCTGCATCTAGACCATCAAGAGAATTCTCCCACTGTTCGATGAGGGTCAGTTTGACATAAATCAGCCCTCTAGGCTCCAGTTTGACAGCCAGCTGATGAGTCCTTGTTACTCGAAAAAGAGTAGGGAGAATCACTGTTCCATGACAACAAACCCGATTTTTCCGTGGGGTAGGCTCCCAGCTGAAGACTACTAGCTTTAAATGCTGAGCATTTTCAAGTTCTATGTTGAAAGTATGGTCCATATCTAAAAAGGTCGTCCTGCAGGTAAGCAAGGCTGTTCTTGCTTTGTTTATTAAATCTACCTGAATTGCACAAAAGACATCTTTGGAATCCATCCTTGGAGGTTTCAAATCCTCAGCACCATAGAAGTGAACACTCATGAGCCCAGATATGTACTGGGAACACTTGGGTTGGTCAGAAAAGTTGTAGTGTCTAAAAGCATCAATATCTATTTCCGTTTTATTATTGTTATTTGGAGGTACCTCTTTTCCTTTCCCACACCTGCTTTCAGATCCATGTTTACCTGATTTTGTTATAAGTTCAGGGGAGTCTCCATCACTGAGGTAACCACCTTTACTAGAAGATTTGGAACTCCTGGCATTTTTCTTCTTGTCAGTGTGCTGCGATAACACACTGCTGTCAAGGTGGTACCTACTTATCACGTTCCGGCTAGCAGCTGCTGCTGTGTTTCCAGAAGATGTCAAAGAAGTTGCATGGCTTCCATCCCGACAGTTACCTTTTGACAAAGAAGAGTTATCTGAACCATTATGGCCTGAAGTTCCTTTGACACTCAGCTTCCTGCTGAGTTCTGGTATTTTTTTCATTTTCATGGAAAGTTTTCTCACAGTTCTAGGAGATTTTATTTTATCAGGGAAAGGCCAATTAATTGATCCACCTTTTTTCAAAGGATTAGGACTTGGAGGAGAAATTTCCATTGCTGTTGTCTCAGGCTTGTTTGTAAGTACAATTCCAGATCCTTTAAAAGAAGAAAAAAGGAATACATTTTTAAAGCTACCCTTTACTGGTAGTTTGCAGGAATAAAAATTCCTGAACTATGAAAGAAATAGCTGCTTTGTCACACTGCAATAAAAGGTGGGGTCTATTCACACAACCATCATGCAATAATTAGATGCATATGAGCATTCGGGGGGTGCAGTTTGCCGACTTGTTCACCAAACATAGGCAGAGGGCAAGTCAGAAGCCTGATTTGTTCCGTTCTCTACAGGCTCTGCACAGCAAAACAAAAGGGGTGGAAACTGCATATAAACAATTCATCCATCCCACCCACTTGTGTGCTACTCCATCTGTTTGTATTGTGTCCTCAGACAAGCCTATTTAACTGTTTCATTGAGGCACAGATGCTAGAAAGCCATGGAATTAAATGGAAAGACTCTGGGATACTACAAATATTCCCTCCTCTCTCTGAGCAGCTGTATTTTTCACTGAAGTAGAGCTGACACTTCAGTGCTTCCCTTTCTTGGTTCCTAGAGCACTGGAGAAGTTCACGGCCTCCTATGTTCTTCAACATAGTTCTGCAGAGGAACATTCCCACAGCAGCCTGCATCTCATGTAGCTCCTTCTGTTCCCTCTAAGACAGCATCAAAATACCACTCCATTACAGGGCAAAAGGCCTCACAACCCTTCCCTTGCAGCTCCTCTTGGCAAGTACCATGCCCCACACTCTGCCATGGCAAAGGGAAGATGGAATGTAGTCAGCATTCATTCCTCCCAAAAGTTTCAACTTGCCCTGCTTCTTAGACACCAACAACCCTCCCTCATTCCTGGCACAATATCCCCTTCTCAGGCCTGGAAGTCTGCCAGTTCCCAGGTGACACCCACCTGGGAAAACGTTTCCCAGACTCAAACAAATCATGCCAACTGATACATATGATCAAGGGGGTGGGGAAAGATTTTCATCACCTGAACAATGGGAAGGACTGAAAAGGAATGCCAACAGACATAAGCCAAACTCAGACAGTGACGTCTGCATGCAGGACACGCACGTAACTACATGCCTTTCACCCTGACATCCTAAAACCAGAACATTGAAGGGAATTACAGCTCAAAGCTGGTGGGCCTACGTTTCTTCTCACTTTCACCAGTATGAATCGGGAGAAACTCTACTGAAGGCAAGTTGTTGTGTGCCCCTGATGTAACTGGGGCGCACAACAGGGAACTGAGACCAGTGATTCCAAACTGATCAGATGATAGTACTTACTGCTGAAGCCTTCACTCAAAGCCACCCTTTTGTCCCCCAAGATATTTATGTTCTTCCTTAGCAGCAAAAGCGGCTATATTCAAACAGCAGCTTGGAGAATGCTACAACCTCCACCAAGACTTTAGTGCCACTTTACAAGCAGCAAGCTGTCTGTAGCTACTGTCAGGACTATAAGAAATGCACCCTCCTCCTATCCTGCCACAAAAGGAAGATCCTCAGAATATTCAACAGCCCCAAACCTGTAATTTCTACAACTATGCAGGTAATCAAAACTCTCTCCTCAGTCTTGGTAATAAAATGCATGTTGCACAGATAAACTTAGTTGCCATTTAGCTCCTGTGCTTTCTGACCACTCTTATTTAAAAAAAATAATTAGCATAGGAAGTCACTAACACTGAGACTGCAAAGACTGGTTCCCATTTTCTGCTAAAAGGGAAAAGGCGGATCTGCAATGAGCATATGAAAGTCAAGTAAGCAGCACTGTGTACAAAGATCACTCAGTAAATCACATTCATTGGGATGTCTGCAATTCTGTTACTACTATTATAGTTTTAAAAAAATCATTTCAGCTTCAGTATTTGGCAATTTAAAATTCCAAAGCACTGTACAGTCACAAAATAATCTTCATAATTCCTTTGTTAATCAATTTAACTTTTCACCATTTATGTGGTTAGTTTACTTTTTGCACTTCATTCAGCTTGAAGGGTGAAATCAGACATACCTGTTTCATTATTTTAACAAAATGATTACTTTAATGGTTTTCACAGAAGCAATTCCATTTTTGTTTAAAGTCTCTTGATAAAATATATTAAGTTCTGAAGAATAACCCATAAAATCTGTTTCCCCAATAACTAAATTAATTTTCTTGTTTCCTTAGTTGCAGTGTCTCATTGAAGTAGTTTTCTTGCAAGGAAAATATTTCCAGCATGCCTGCTGTGCTTTTCTGGCAAGCAGCTAGTAAGAACTGTGGTATTTGATAAAACTGGACAAAGCCTTTCCTTGTACTGCAAATCACAGCACAGTCCCACTGGTGGGCTGCTCTGAAGCATTCTATAGTAATCAGTGCCATACTTTATTAATATTAAGCTAATATTAATCTTCCTTTTCTGTCAGAAGTCTCTAGCACAGGCTTAGAAAAGCAAGCCAACATATTAAACTTCCCTTGATTTCATTAAAACTGAAGAGTCAATCTAACTTTCTGACTTATGTGTCCAACTCTTGCTGCATTCAGCACTGAACAGTTAAAATGAAATGTGGCTGAGGGAAACTATAACAGTCGAAGTATTATGCAAGCTGGTATTCCCATTAGTGTTAAGCCACGTGTTGTTCCAGCAAAGCCAGAAATTTGTTAAAGTATGTACATGATTTTCAAAACTGTTTATTAACAACGAAGCTTTAAACAATCTGCAAAATTTGATCTTAATATATTCTAACAAATGTACTCTGCAATGCAGTCCACACTTTATATAGCTTCCATATAACACTGCTTGAGGAAATAAACGGCTTCTTGTTACAAGATCCTAACAAAATAGAAGGATGTTGTATAAAGACAATCTTAATTTTGCCCTTCTCTCCCGCAGCATCAGCACCTTATGATCATGCCTTTTACACTTTAAAAATAGCCTGTAGGAAGGATGGCAAGAGGAAATGATATAGAAAAGGGACCAACTGTTTAAATGACTACCAGCCAGTAAGATGAAATAAACATTCTGCTTTATAATTTACTGCTTCTGATGTAGACTGCAAAAGTCAACACTTACAGGGAAAAAATCAAGTTAAAATAACATAACTGAAAGCCATTGCTTCATGCTTTGATAGTTAGCTTTACACATTTTACATATTAATTACAATGCACTCTACAGAAAGACAGCTTTGAAGAATTTCAGAGATTCGTAAGCATCAGGCAGGCTATGAGTTTTCCTGGAAGGGTGTTATATTGAACAAAAATAACCTGCTATAAGTGCTTGAAGTGAATATTTATTCAGTTTTAGCACAGCAAATTTTTGCTTGTGTAGTGTGACTGTACAAAATAATGAAGTCTTTTTAAGAAGACAAATGACCTCTAAGAAATGCTATACTTCATAAATTCATGAAAGTTTCCTTCTTTTAGGGCTCTGTATATATAATCAGTGTCCATCTAGTCAAACAGGTTGGGCCCTACTGAAATTTACATCTACATAACTGTGCCCTGAGGGAATAAATTGGCTTAACTTAGTTTGAAAACTTCTAGGAACTGCTAAATGCAGCACTGTAAAAAAGCTTGTTGTATCCTGCATTAGAGCATATAAATTACTGTCATACTGACTGCAACAATTATGCCATTTTAAAAGCATAATCTTTGATTATTCCATTTTACATATAAAACTTTCCCCTCCATTTTCAAAACACATTCCCATTTTCTACATTTACTTTAAAAATTACCAAGAAGCCTGTCATTTGTTTTGGGGGTAATGAGTTAAGATGAATGGATAACTGGCCAAGCCAAAGGTATACCAGGTGACATCAGTCTCGTAACTGTAATAGTCTGTTACAAATATAAAAGTTAAGTATATACTGCCAATAAAAACAAAACTCATGAAACTAAAACAACTATTCAACCTAACTTTTTCCTGTAGGTTTTCCAGGAATACTTATCTTAGCAGGCATACTATATATAATCCTGAAACAATCTCTTTAAAAGTAGCACTGTGGTTATAACATCACAGTCAAGACTGAAACAGCTTTTGTGATGTTAGAAAAAACAAACAAAAAAACACATTTCTTCAATAATGCAGAACATTGTAAAACAATTTTTCCTTTTTGTCTTCATTTCTCAATCTTTTTCTCAGGGCAGCGATAAACTCCAGGACATTTATAAAACCGATCAAAACAAATATACCTCAGAACTGCCTTTGTAAGACACCTCAGCAAAGGGCAGGAAAGACGCAATGGACACTTTTACACATGCTTAAGGGTGAGGAGGGGACAGTGCTTTAATTAGAGCAGCTCTGAGTCACTAATTAAAGCACCACAGCGTTTCATGTGTCAGCGTCCCCATGCTTCAAAATGGCGGCAGGGACACCTGAACTAAAGCTTGTTGAACAAGCTTTAGTTGAAGCACCCCCGCCACCATTTTGAAGTGCAGGGACACTGATATACAAGACACGGGAGGTTGCTGGAGCGCAGTAATTACCAAGCTCCAGCCGTCTGCTCTAATGCACTGTAATTACAGTGCGTGGGAGCAGCCTCTGTGCTCGTGTACAGGCACTCAATATTCTTTTTATAAGATGAAAAGACAGGGCAAAATCTTTAACTCAAATAAGAGGCATTCCTTTGCTGACGTTAATTGAACTTTTGTAAAAGTAAAGGATGTGGTCCATTTAGTCTTTTTGAGCTCAAAACCTATTTAGAGGCAAAACTTTGAAGTGGCATTGTAAATAGTCTTTAATGAAGAAGGCATGCCAGGCCAACTTGAGCAGGACTGGCTAACAAATAAGGAAATTCTCTCGCGCTCTCTCATCTATTTTGGCAAAATGGAAAGAGGAAAAGAAAGAAAATGTCTGTCTGACTCTTTCTACTTCTCCTTATTTATTAAAGGAAAGACATTTCTTAATATTTTTGAAAAATGTACATGGTGACTAGATCCTTTTGAACATGCAATGAAAAATATGCTTTATTTTCTACATTAAAATTACCATTTTTTCACCTGCACACACTGAAGGCTGTGAGTTCACTTCCTGATGATGTCTCAAAGATGGAAGTGTTTGAGTCCATCCAGC